TGAATATTGTTTCCAGAACTCAACTCCCCATGTATTAAAAAAGAAAGGCTTCTCCTTTTCACTATCAAGGATACCACTCTTATGCAGCGCATTCTCTATCTCATTCAAGCACATCATAAGAAACTTTGATGGATATTCTAAGATCTCCTGATCAGGCTTTTGATGACCATGGGCACCAACTTCCCCAACGAGCTGAATTTTGCTTCTTTCTAGGTCAGTACGTCCTTCCTGCCCCGTGTTTCCAGAAAGTGATGTTCTAGTTGCACCTCTTGACAGCTTACTCATTTCATCAGTCTGTTCTAAATGATTGTCTTCTGTATTTCTCTTACCAAAAGATTCTTTGTTTGGAACTGTGGTCTTGCCCTTAACAACCTTCCTTTTTTCCTTCTTTTTAAAGTCAATTTTACCTTGCTTATCATTAAACGGATCATCTGGGGTTGGGAGACTAAAGCACATTCCCTGTATGATGTCATAAATAGTTAGAATCACATTATCAGGAAACCAAGCATCATAAATTTTACAAACATCTCTTTCTTGATGCAACCAAGGGAGCAAGAAAACTGATGACTGTAACAGATCAGACAAACAAAATATGAAGCTCCAGAAACATCTAATAACACAAGAAATTGAGTGAAAATACAATCATCTTCAACCTTAGGCGGACAGAACATGTGTCACATTTACTCGTCAGTCTGAGCTAGATGGTTAACGTAAAGAGAATCTTACAGTCCTGGGTTTGGGATCTAGTTATGAGTTTGAAAACAGAAAAATCAAAATGGGTTTAGATTGTTTAACGCTTTCCTTCCGACACCTACCTTAGAAACCATTATGGGCTTGTTAGGGTATGCAATGATTTCTTAGTTTTGAAAGAGAAATTCAAACTTTCATAAAAAGCTTATAATTTTCTTCTCCTCTGAATTATTAAAAAAAAATGCAGATAGCCACAAAGTGGTAATGGTAACTGCTGATAAAAACAGGAACTGCCTTGTGAGTCGAAATGGTAACTGCCCAAAAAAAAAGGAACGAACTAGTGAGTGGAAAAGATAACTGCCCTTAAAAAAGAATTAACCAGTATAATAAAACTTAGAGGGAAAAATAGGAAAAATTTGTGAAAACGAACTTTTATCTAACCATAATTGCCTACTTTCCTCATTTTCTGTGTTTAGTATTAGTGAAACGTGTGTAGAAACTTCCCACTAACTTGCTGACTAGATATGAACTTATCGTAACAGAAAACAAATTAAACTGAGCTGAAGTTCAATTCTTACTGCTTTCTTTAGTTAACCCCAAACAACCCCACCCATATACTGTAGCCATGAGATATGAAAAGAACCAAACCTGGATTACAATATTACATGCCTTTTCAGTTCAGGACAGTTAATACATAACACCACATCATACAAATAAGGTAAGCATCCATGCCAATTTCCAAAAATGCTCTAATCCTACTTGCGAGAAACTAATAGCAGAACCCAGAGACCTTCCAACAACCTTATTGAATCTACATAGAATCCATAATCAACTATGAAAATGTGGTTGTCAATTAGATTGAAAAACTAAGAGTGCATTCAGTGACAACAAATAATGTTTTTTTAAAAAAAATAAAAGTATGAAGTTGTATTGAAGTAAATTGTCAAGTGAGCAACCCCCATTTACAAAAAATTTACAAATCGACTATAGAACCAAGATCATCAAAGCATTCGGATGTTATGTCCTAAACAACAAATAATGATTATTTTCTGACAACATTTTCACTTTCAAGAAACGGAAAAGGAAAAAGATAATTTGTTACCAATACAACTAATGCTTCCTGTAACAACAGCGAACGAGGTATCATATCATTTGAACAATCATAACATGAAGGTTTTCTCATTCACAAACAATCCTTTCCACCTCCTAGATATCAGGTAAGTGTATTCATCTTCTCCCCTATACATACTCCATAGACAAAATTCATTCCTCTGCCCTTTCAGAGTGACAGAATAATCAAAATAACAATATTCCGCAAATTTTTACAAGAAAAAATAAATCAACGATTTCGCTATACTTTCAAAAGAAACCACTACCTGACACATGCGGCGTTTACCAGACTTTCGCCGCTTCTTGGCTGCTATAATAGAAGCGATCCGAGCAGAGACTTTAGAAGAGTCATTCTGCTGTTTATTGAGCTTCTTTCTATTTGCTTTGTTCTTCTTCCTCTTCACAACATCATCTCCCTTCACCATCTCTATAAACAACCTACAAAACTCCAAGAACGAAAGATGTATTTGCTTATGTATATTATATGTACCAGTAGAGTGTATATATGTGCATACGCTCTTGAAGTTGAGGTATATTTAGTGCGGCGTGTGCGGCGTTGCAGCCAAAAATGAACTGCTAGGATATACAATTCCGTTGTCAATGGCACAATCGTGATTTCCTTTAGAAGACGATGGTAATTTTGACCATTTGCATGGTTTGGGCCTCGCGGGTCTTCTTAAAGAGTAAACTTATCTACGGGCTTACGGTTCGGAGCGGCCCGAACATTTTCCGGGTTTATATGGTTTGAACGGCCCGACATCGCCAAAGAAGAATGAATTTATGGAAATTTGACTGGATTTTTTTTTTAATCTGCTACTTAAATTTTTTTTTTTTAATTTTCTCAAAATTTGAGTTTATATAATCGGAATAAAAAAATCATAATATACTGATTTATTTATCATATTATTATTGGATCGAATATCATATTAAATAATCTAATCTAATATGTTTTTAAAAATTTAGATCGAAAAAATCTCATCTCTAATTACAATTGTGAAATACAAATGTATAGTTATTAAAAACTGTTTATTGATATATGTCGATAATATAAATCAACTTCAAATACAATTAAAATTAACAGTTTCTTATCGTGTATTAAATTATTTTGAAAATAAATTTTATACTTAAATTTTTTAAAAGTTTCTCAAGAGCTTCTTATTAAAAAAATTTCTTGCAATATTTTTTAATTTAATTAATAAGAGAATAAGAATAATGTGACGATAAAAAATATTGTAAAAAATAAAATATATCTAAAATTGAATTTGAATAAAATTATAATGTTCGTATCAAATCAAATAGATTTAAATATAAAACTGCGGTATATTTTTTCAATTATCATATAATTATTTAGAATTATTTAATTATTTTTATTTTTAGTAATGAAATGTTATAATAAATAAAATATTATGTGTAATTTGAAAACTGTATCCCTATATTTATAAACAAACTTGTTTGATGATTTTTTTTTATTCATAATTTAACTCATCACAGTATTATAAATTATAAATTTGATACTTACACATAAAAAGTTCACAATTTATTTGATGCATTAAATTCTAAAATTCGTTTAAACTTAATAAATTATTTTTTTAGACATACTTAATTAATTTGATAATATTTTATACATAAGTCTACAATATTTTATTAAAAATGTGAAAATATAAAAATTAAGTATGATAGATTATAAAATAAAAAAATAATAATTTATTTTAGCTTAATCATTATCCTGTTTGTACTTATTAGTTTCCTCACTAGTATTTTACCTTATTTGATAGTTAACGTGAGAAATTTTGGCAAATTAATTATTTTAATTACACATTTCAATAATTTTATAGCATCTATATACTAACAAAAAATTAACCAATCTATTAATTGTAAAACAAAATAAAAAAATATATTTTATAAAAAATATAAATATAGAAATTATCGATACGAACTCATATATTCGTATAACAAATCGAAATTAATAATTATCGTAATTATTCTAAGAATTTGATAAATTAATATTTATAAAAATAACAAAAACATACATAAAAAACTATGATTTGAACTCATACGTTCCTAAAAATAATAAAAAAATATTAATCATTCAATTAAATGATAATTTTTATAATTAATATAAGAGTTTTGGTAAATTAATATTTTCTTAGGGTAAAACGTTGTTCACAAAGCTATATGGTAAATAATTATATATGCTTTTTTTATTTTTTTCATGTGAGGGGATGTACATAATCATTTTTTATTAAAATTGAAAAAGGTATTTATAATGGAATTAACTATGTTATGCAAATGACTCATTTAAAAAAAAAAATTGTAGAATAACATTATAGTTTAAAAAATCATACACTTTGTTCGATCGTTATATATCATATTCAAAATTTTGTTAATTTTATTGTTCCTTAATAATATACGATTAATATTTAAAATACACCGTTTTATTTAATTTTCAATTTAACATTAAGTTATAATTAAATGGAAATGGTAATTTTACTCTTATAATTAGAATAGAAATGAAATAAGAACTAAAGTACTGAAATAATTGAAATTGAAAATACAATTTGATCTTATTTTATTAAATAATTACTATTTATTTCAGTACTTTTATTTTATTTACAATAAAGTTTCATTAAAAAAATACGAGTCACATCGCATGACACCAACTTTCACAATTTTAATTAATATAGTTTTTTAATTAAAAAAATCTATAAATTAATATAAAAATCTTAATGTTAGTGGAGTAAAGTATCAAGGAATAGTTATAATAATTTTTTTAAAAAATAATATTTTAGTT